TGTCTCTGTGCTGTGATGAACTCTAAATCCTGACTGAAAATCCTCAAATAAGCTATTGTTATGTAGAAAGTCACACAACTACTAATAGTTGGCTAAAACCCCTGGGTCAAGGGTGGGCTTTTTAGGAGGGGTTTAATTACAATTTTGGACCCCAGTATGCTGAAATATTCCAGCACACTAAACAAAAAATAACATATTTATACCACATGCAAAAAACTGCATGGGATTAGCAAAATGTGGGTGTGTCTGCAAAGCGGAGACTCGTGGGTACCTGTAGAACCCATTTTCATTAATTCATCTTGAAGTCAGAGGTCAAATGGTGCCTTTTTTTTGCCTAACTTTAGAGGATTATTTAGCATCCTCCCCGACATGCTAGCATGACATTGTTGGTACCGATGGATGCATTAGGCAATCTAGTTTCATGGAAAGTTTCTGGTACTAGATACCAGTATCTTCAATAGCTTTAACAGGGAGCCTGCTACAGACTCTGAAAGAGTCTGTGTGGAATAGGAAAGGACAATGGGGTGCCACATGGATGGGCAATGGGGTGGCACAGGGGTGGCCACCTGAGGATATAAGTATCCTGGATACAAGCACTGGCATCTTGTGCTGGGGAAGCCATTCAGTCCCGCCCATACATCCAGCCAACTCAATTGCAAGCTGTCAGCTCAGCTCTCAATCATGAAGTGAAACCCCCTTTTTATGTTGTCAAATGACAAATTAAAACCAAAGTGATCAGAAAAAGGAATGCTTGAACATACAGCAGTGTGATAAGATCTACGTAAATACACAAAAAAAAGACATACTTTGTTTTTTCACTTTCAGCGGGCTGTCATATTGTCCATCTTTATATATGTCAATGGTCTGCATCGTCGCCATATTACAAGGCTGATTTTCATGAAATGTGACTTGTTATACGTGTGAGAAATTGAACCTGATGCTGGTTCCTTGCTGGAACTGATTCAGTTACTAGGGGGTTGGGTCTAGTCAGCTCTAAACCAAAACATCAACCTTCTGAATAGCCACATTTTCCACTGGGAACTTCCACTTCCAATCAGACAACAGATGTTGCGCCCTGAAAAGGGGAGTGAATGAATGAAACGTATGGACATGATGCTTCTCTTCTGGCAGCTTCATTCAGAATTTATTATTTACAAAATTATACTTACAAATAGTATCAGG